GTCCTGCCAGCCCCTGTGTGGCTTAGGAGTAGTCAAATTTCTTGAGACAAAACCACACATAGAATTTCAGGTTTGTTTCTATACAGTGGTTTCAGGATCTTGACCTGGCAAATCTTAGCTGCCTTGGCATCTTCGACCTCCAAAGTATGTACTTACCCTGTCACCCTACCAAAAGGCCCAGGACCTACCTTTTTGCTGAATCTCTATTTCATAAGGAACAAGGAAAGCTTGGTCCTTATGCCATCCCTGGTCTGCTGCAATTTCTAGAAACTTGGGCCTCTTTTGGAGGCACACTCAGTTGCCAGAACTCCCTGGAAGTATGTTGTTCAGGCCTAAAATCAGTGGTGCTCATTTGCCTGAAGGAGTCTTTGACCAACTGCCTCATGTTCTTGGCTTCAGCTATCTTATAGTTATTTAAATATTGGAGCTAAAATATTTAATTCATACATGACTTTAGCTATTATAAAATGTTGTGGATGATATACATTATGGCATTTATTTATAAATCATAAAATGAATTAATTTATAAATTTAATTTATAATTTATTAATTTATTTATTCACACAAATGAGTCACTTTATTAACAAACTTTCTGACAGAAGTTAATAGACAATTTTCTTTAGTCTCAGCATGAAAATTATATGCAGAGGAAATGGAAGCAAATGTATAATCAAGTTTGTCCTTTGATTTATTCACTTTTTTCTATATAATATATAAAATATTTTAATGTATAAACATTTCTAGGCTTTTTGTTAGTTTTACCTTACTTTGTATACTTTTCTACTTTATTAGAAGAAATTTTCTGCTAAAATATGAAGAAAATGATAGGAATGACACAAAGTATTTTCAAATAATTCAAGCGTGAAATGGAACCCTCTTAGTAAAACAGCTAAGGGTGACTGAAGCACACTCTCTATTTATCCAGCCTCACCCCAATGTGACTATAACAGTCTTCTAGCATTATGACCCTGTTTTCCCACACTTAGCCTCACGAGCAATTTCTACCTATGTGATTTGTGCATGTGGATGAATATAGCCAGTTTTCTCTTCTGGTGACCAAGTTTGAGTAAATATTTTGAAGTGTGTGGTAAGAAAAAGTCATATAGTAGATGCTCAGGTTAAAAGGGTTATCTGTGTTGGACACTGAGTGAGAGACTTCTTCCAGTAAACTGGAATCAAATTATGGTTGTATACTTCCATCCTTGGGTGATTTTTGTCCAGAGAAATA